CACACATGGGTAAAACATTCACAAAGTTTAATAATAAAGCACTTGGTAAAAAGGGTAATGCAGGATATGCAAGTATAAGAAAAGAGAACAGCTGCAAAAGTAAAATAAACAAACAAATATGGGAAATCTAAGAGATATAGGTACAGTCAAATAGGCAGTATTGAGTTGCCGGAATGAAAACCAAAAGCGGGACTAACTAACATCTTATGTAAAGCCAGTCATACACTGTGCAATTTTGGAAATCTGGTTCTTTGGTGACTCACACTGTGCGTTTGAATCACCCCTCGTGAACAGCCAAAGCCTGCGATTTATGTGCTCACACTGTACGAAAACACTCGGTCCGACTGACATGACATGACATGACATGGGTGCTCACACTGCATGTGACACGTAGCCCCTACAGACGCTCTGTCTACAATAAAGCTGTTTCATTCAAAACAACATGCTGCACCTCCGAGTCCTGATCAGAACACTAGCTGAATCTCAAATGGCTCCCTGCTCCCTACATAGTGCACCACATATTAAAATAATGGCTCCTGCACTCATAAAGTGCATCACATGTCTAATAAATAGCCTTCTGAGATGTCGGTTCGTGAGGCTGCTCACACTGTGAGACAAGCAACCAAAATTTCTGAATTGTCAGAAATCCACCCAATCGTCCGACTGCTCAATCGGAGCTCGTTTGGGCAGTTAATCAGGCATCGTTTCTCCTCTCACACTGCAGGGCAAACGACGGCTGATGAAGCTGAAATTCGGCCCGATAATGAAATTCAGTCTGGTTTAAAAAGGGCTAAAATCGCACAGTGTACGCCTGCCTTAAGATGGCAAACTTATCCGTCTAGACTTTACATCCTAACTAGATTCCAGAGGGTTTACAGCATCTTAAAACTTGCCACCCTGTCATATTGGGAGAAAAGCAAAGAGAAGCTTGTATTTGCTGAAAAGTGTGTCCTTGGGTTCAACTTCTTGGGCCTGTCCTCAGGAATTGCGAAGGACAGAAAAATGTACCAGTCCAGAAGTTTGCATGCATTGTCTCGTATTCCGATGAGTATGAATCAAAAGAGGATCAGCCAAAAGGTCGGAGCTGAAAGTTCAGACTGCAAAGTTGGTGGCTGGATATAAGGAATTTGCAACTTCAAAGAAAACTTGAGGTGACTTTTATGGGGTTTAGGCATATTCATCCCACAATGTTGATTGATCCTCCTTCCACATGGGAGGAGTCTGGGGTTTCATCATGCCTATCAGGCTTTTCTTGTGATACTGGACATAAAATACACATTATGTCCATATCATGCAACTGCTGTGTCCCACAACTTTGAAGATCATTCCAATGTCTCCAGCATGATTCTACCGTTAATTTGAGATGAAACTGAATAGTATGTTTTGTATATTTCACACACACTTGAAAGAAAGGAATCAATGACATGACACCATACTGTTTCACTATGACAAATCACTTGATGTTATGGATATTGTCGATGTATGTCGGTCTTGCTAATGGAAATTGACATTTTATGAAAATGGGACATGCTTGTTTTTCCTTTTGAAGGCTATATTTATCGAGCTGCTGGGCAGTGACTCCTAGCAAGTCAAAGAGATGCTCCTTAAGCGGTACCCTTTTCGCTTCATGGTTTTTGGTCTGTCATTGTTCATGAAGGTTTAGATTAGACAGAACCCTTTTATGACACTACTTAGAGGAAGGCCTTGCCTTTGGAAAACTTCCATGACCACCTTCAGGGCCGTAAACCTTGTAGAGTTATATACTCTGGTTTATGGATAGGTCTTGTCACTGGTATTGGAGATGGTGTGTTGTGCCATTTTATAGCTGTTGTTCCTATAATATATGTTAATCTAATATACATGAATATATAAATATCTATAGATAAATTGTTTCTTTGTTAGCAGGGAGAGAGAGGAAATCTGGAAAGAACTTTAAGAATGTCATTGTTGGGGACACATTTCTGTTCTTGACACATATTTTCTGTTAAATGCAGTTTTCATTCTTTTGTTTTTTTATGATTTTGTTAACACAGTAGTCAGCAATGCCGTACTGCTGTAAGTTTTGTTGATGTGTAAATCTTCATATTAAATAACATAAAAACTGGGGAAGTATACCCCAAAATAGTTCTACAGTGAACTGGGCTGAGTCCCGGATTTAGGTGCCTAGCCAGTACGCCTAGTCGTATGTAAAAATACCAAATCTACATTTATTTTTTATCTTTCTCTTTTTCATTTAATAACATAAAACAATTTACCCTCTTTATCATTATTTCATAACTGAATCAAGCACTTTAACTAATGATCCTGAACCAACTCCAAACCCAGCGTAGAGAGGCTGAGTGAATGTGGTGTGGACTGTGTGTAGGAGGGTCATTGTGTCAGAGACGCTGTAGAAGGACAGAGTTCCTGCACTGTGATCCACATACACTCCTATTCTGGAGGATGATGGACCTGAGAGCTCAGTCTTAATGCTGTTGTGACAGAAGGAGAGAGAGGAAGAACAGTCCAGCCTCCAGGACTGATTGTTGTATCCAAACCAACACTCATTAACCCATCCTTGCCTGCTGATCCCCTTATATGACACTGATATGGACACCCAACCAATCCACTCAACCTCCCAGTAACAGCGTCCACTCACACTCTCTACTGACAACACCTGGGGCCTAGAGTCAAATCTCTCTGGATGGTCAGAGTAACGCTGCTCTCCTCTTCTCCTCGTCACCACTCTGTTCTGCTCAGACAGACTGAGCTGATGATTTACTGTGTTGGGATCCAGAGTCAGTCCATAGAAATCTGAAACAAAGAAAATAAAAAGATTTTTTTTATTTACAAAATATAATTGTTAAAAATGCTTTGCAGAACATAATCATGTACTGTCACACATTATACATTTTTGTATTTAAGATTTTAGAGATTTTTTGGTACGTGAATGTGTGTGTTTGTATCTGTGTGTGTGTGTGTGTGTGTGTGTGTGAGTGTGTGTGTGAGTGTGTGTGTGTGTGTGTGTATTGTGTGTGTTGTTCATACACTGTAGAAAATCTTCTCTGGTTTTTGGCTCTGAGGATAAGATGGTCTGAACTGCTGCAGCTGTGGAGACACACAAACACACTGATTGAACAGAATGAATGAAGGAAACTCAAACACTCGCTCAGAAAGACAGAAGCAGCTAAAAGACACACAGCACAGTCTCCATGTTTAAATCAGATCAGTTTGGGTTTCACACAGGATTCAGTTACTCTTTACCTTTTATTGAGTTACTGTGTTACTCTGACTGTCTCTCTCTCACTGTTCAGTTCAGAATGATATATTAGCATGAGTTGCTTTATGTTACATTCTACCACCGTAATTGTAAAAAGATAAACATTTAGGCAACGTTTCCCAAACTGGTCCTCAGGGCCTCCCAGATGGTCCACAACTGTGCTCCAACCTACCTTACAGCACAAAGGCCTGAAGGAAAAATGTAGACCATCTCGGGGCCTCTGGGAATAGGGTTGGGAATCACTGATTTAGGGAATGCAATAACAGTAATAATACTGAAAATAACATTAAATTAATTTGTACAACAACCACAACCCCAACATCTAAGCCTAAACTAAGACCATGTGTGGACACATGAACATGCTTATATATATATGGTGAGCACGATATTTACTTTCTCATTTTATTTGGTTAATACGTGATATTTTCATTGTTATTTTAATGAATAATATTTTCTTTCTGTACTGTAAGTGTACACTTTGAAGTGTACTCTCTCTCTCTAGTTCGGTACTAAGGGGGGGTGATGGATAAATATGGTACTATTACACTAGAACAGCTGCATAATCTCTTTTAATAGCATAAGCTGTGTAATTTACTATTGAAGTAAAGATTTCTGTCCTCTTACCATGTAGAGAGATTTTACTGAACTCCTCCTTGCAGAATTCCTCTAGTCTCTTTTTCAGATCAGAGAGAGATTTCCTCACTCCATCAAATGAGGGATGCTGATGGACAGTGATGCTGGAGGATTCCTCACATCCAGAAGAGACACTCAGAGACTGGAAACTCTACAGAGAGTAAATGGAGAATGGAGAGAGATGAAGAAGAACAAGAGCATTAAATGTGCTCACCAAAAATAAGTAATAAATAATTCCTAAGATTCAGGGAAAAACATTCCCTTAACGAACTTTGAGAAAGAGCCATTTTAGAGCCTCTCTGAGGAGCAGGTTCCTCTGTAGGTGAGTGATGGTTACCTGGAGGAAATGGATGTGATCCTCTGTGACTGAAAGCTGCTCCAGCTCAGTGTTTCTCCTCTTTAGATCATCAATCTCCTGCTGCAGGTTCTCCAGGAGTTCTTCAGTTTGTCTCAGCTGGTTCTTCTCCTGAGTTCTGATCAGCTTTGTTACCTCAGAGTGCTTTTTCTCAATGGAGCGGATCAGCTCAGTAAAGATCCTCTCACTGTCCTCCACTGCTGCCTGTGCAGAGCGCTGTTAGGACACAGACACACAAGATGGAGCTCCATTTAAACACCAGCTATCATTCACTCTCTCACTGGGACTCTAGATGACTGACTGTCCACATTGTGGCTGTGTGGGATCCCAAAGTGTCCAACACTGGACTCCTCACTGTCTGACTGGAGGAGAGTCTGAGTGAGCTGTAAAATAGCTGTTCCAGCAGATCTCTGCCCACTACTCACCTTAACAGTGACCACATCCTGTTTCAGCTCCTGCAGCTTCTTCTGTTTCTCCCAGAGTCTCTGCTGGAATTTCCTCTGAATCTTCTTCAGCTCACTCTGAGAAATAAAACATATTCAGTTTTTGGTGAAATTTACAACAAGGGACTGTATTTATGGCAGCTGAACAGTTATAGCTCTATGTGAGCACCACAAACCAAACAAAGCATCACAAGTGCTGCAAGATGGACGTTGGCTGCTCAAAGTTATTTTGACTAGTTTGACTCAAGTTACAAGATGAAAGCACAAAGTTACACCACTTCCTGATAAAATGAACACTTTCGCTTTTCATCAGCCATTTCAAAAGCATTCCTGCGAATTAAACAACTGAAACACATTTAAAGCGTCTTTGATTATTACCACTTACTCTAGTAAAACTGGATTACTATCAATTGATTTTAAAATATTCAATTTCTTACCTGTTTCTTTCTTCTCTCTGCTGCAGCTTCAACTGTATCGTGGCCTTTATGTTCATGCATCATGCACAAATAACAGATGCAGCTTTGGTCAGTACGGCAGTAGATCTCGATCAGTTTGTCATGTTGAGAGCAGATCTTCTCCTGCAGTCGTGTGGAGACTTTGACCAGCTTGTGTTTGATCAAGGCTGGAATTTCCAGATGAGGTTTAAGATGAGTTTCACAAAGAGACACTACACACATGAAACAGGACTTGATGGCTTTGCGTTTCCTCCCAGTGCAGAAATCACACTCCACATCTCCAGGTCCAGCGTAACAGTGAGCAGGAGGAGCAGTGTGGAGTTCTGTCTTCTTCACTTTCTCCACCACTTCAGCCAGCATGTTGTTTCTGCGTAGAACAGGCCTCGGAATGAAGGTCTCCCTGCACTGGGGGCAGCTGTAGACCCCCCTCTGATCCTCCTGATCCCAGCAGCCATTAATACACATCACACAGAAACTGTGTCCACAGTGAATAGTCACTGGATCCTTCAGCAGATCCAGACAGACTGGACAGATGAACTGGTCCTGATCTACTGAAATACTGGCCTCTGCCATTTTCCTGCACTCACAGTCTGAGAGAGAGAGGGAGAAAGAGAGAGAGAGCAGCTCTCCAAGATCAGTTTCACTTTCTCTGAATGACTAGGAGGGACTTCCTGCTTCTGTGTTTGTTAAAAGTGTTGCAAAGAGACAGCGCAGATGGAGAGAGAGAGGAAAAATAAGATGAGAGCGAGATCAGTGGACGACACTGGGACAGAAATTTAAATGAATGTGGATTTGGCCCTTAAAACTAATGTATTAAATGGACTCCAGCTTGTAGGAGTAACACAGTCTCTGTGCAGATCCTCTGAGTGCAGCGTCCTCTACAGAAGCTGTTCTCAGTAATGAGCTACAATACTCCACTCATACTTAATAAAGTAACTGATAATAAAGTACATAGTCATTCTTAAAATATTGATTTATCCCATCTTAATGTTTTTTCAGTCAAACTATACTTCTACATTTAAATATTTAGACTTTTTATACTTGTCATAAAGTACTTGTAGTTTTAAGGCTATCCCTGTGTTTCTTCTTCTGCAGATGCTACAATATATTGCTTAAATATATCTAATTTTACTCAGACGTTAGTATAACAAGGTTCTTTCATGGAACTTTATGGCTTCGTGCGTAGGCCCCCATTTCAGTTCCTATTTTCATCTTGCCCTCACTCAATTCAACTCACCACTCAGATGTCCATCACACCTGTATTACACAAATGTCCACTTGCAGCAGAAGGAAAGGAGAGGACAGTGAGAGACAAATTATTCGAACAGAACGCACTCCCCCTCGACCAGTTGGCCTCAGTGAGCTCACTGGATAGCCATGCAAACTTTGCGATGGAAAATGTTTTTAAGAAATTTAAATATACATAATGTGTGTGTGAATAACTGCTTTGTCTCTCTGTAAACTTGGAGTAGGACCGTGCTGCAGTGCCTTTGTTGTTGTTCTTGTTAGGTCATGTAGCCTTTAGCATGCTATGCTATGCTTTATGGCTAATGATTTTGAAATGTGAAGTGTTTTTAAATAGTTTATTGTCATGGCTTAGAAACAGCTTTGTCCACCATTATTTTGGGATTTGAAAAGGGAATTGTGTCAGGTCGCAATAATTTCTGGGCAAGTTCTGCTGTTGAACTTGACGCTGGTGTTCGCTCGATCCCTCAACCCTCTGAGGGCTCATCTAACAGCCTTCGGTTCAGCTAATAAAGCAATAGAACAGCCCTTAGGATGGTGCTGGGGATTCCTCCGAGGAGAAATGGCAAGGCCGAGTGAATGAGGGCTTGTTAATACCTGTGTTGAAACGGGGGTAGGTGTAGAGTTTGTGGCCGTGTAGCTTTACTCCTTACTGTATTGTTTTGACACATGGCTTTGGAACGTTGGTAACGTTATTTCTCAGCTGTATTACTGTGTTTGTTGTTCTTCAAGTTTGTCTCCTATCAGCTCCAAGACTTCATTTGCTTAACTTTCTTGCCTTTTCAACATGGATAATCCTGTGGTAAGCCTTGCTGCTTGTGGTCAGACTCCTGCCCAGCAAAAACCCATTTGATTTTTCGAAATCGTCTCAGCAAATATTCTGTCTGCTTCTTGTTCTCCTCTGCTCTAAGCAGAACTATGTCGACTTGTGTGATCATGGACACAATGATTGATTTGTATACCTGTTGCTATTACTGACAGTATGTTTTATCTGAATTGATCTAACATGAGAAAGCTGCTAAGAGTGACTGGGTCTGATCAGCAAGAACGATGAGTCAGCATACAGAGAGGAGGTGCAGTGGCTAATGGACTGGTGCAGAACCATCATCCTGTCTCTGAATGTGGACAAAACTGAGGAGCTGGCTCTGCTGCGGAAGTTCCTCGGCGTCCACATCACAGAGAACCTCACCTGTGTCCTTAACACCAACTCCATAGCATAGAGAGCCCAGCAGCGCCTCTACTTCCTGCAGAGACAAGAAAGCTCATCTCCCCCCCTCCCATCCTCACCATGTTCTACAGGGGGACTGTGGAGAGCATCTTGAGCAGCTGCATCATCACCTGGTTTGGGAATTGCACCGCAGACCGCAAGACCCTACAGAGTGTAGTGAGGACAGCTGAGAGGATCATCGGGGTCTTTCTCCCCTCCATCATGGACATCTACACCACACGCTGCATCCGCAAAGCCACCAGCATTGTGGACCCCATCCGTCCCTCACACAGACTTTTCTCACTGCTGTACCGTCTGGCAGAAGGTACCGGAGCATCCGTGCCATCACTGCCAGACTCTGCAACAGCTTTGTTCCTCAAGCAATCAGGTTTTTGAACTCACAAGGACTGAACTAAATCCCCCCCTCACACACATATTCTACACTCACACACACCTACACACCTCTTTTGATACTCTCACTCGAACGTACTTGCTCTATCTGGAACATTGCTGCCAACACTGTGTTCTACTAAAGTACTGTGCATTTCTACCTCAGTAACTGCTGTGCTCACATATATCATAATCTGACTGCGTATACCCATATCATAGTATGTTAAATATCTCTGCACCTTATTCCACTACCTCATGCTCAGAAATGAGTGCTGTGTCGGCGCTGCACTGTCCGGTCTGTTTACTGTGTCTAATGTCTGTTTTATTTATTGTATGTTTGTATTGTTTCTAGTTTAATGTTTGCACACTTACATCTGCACGTTTGCACTTTGTCTGTACTGTATTATTTTGTTCCATGTTGCACCATGTTGGTCCTGGAGGAACATAAGTTCGCTCCACTGTGTACTTGTACGCAGATGGAATGACAATAAAAGCTTCTTGACTTGACTTGATATTTTAGTAGCATCCACCAGAGGGCACCAGCTCTGCCTTATGGCTCTGAAAGAGATTTTATGATGCAGTTTCTGTAGGTCCAGCCTTCAAACATGTATAACACATATGCATTTTCTTACTGTTGTAGAAGTTGGTCCTTTTTTTTCTCTCATACAAACAACAAAACACATAGGAGATCAAATGTATTGTGCATCTTGATGTGTTTTTAGAGAATCTGTTTATCTTCTGAGGCACTCTTTTTTATAATGTGACAAACTGAATATATAAGTTCTCATATGTATTACACCACTAGCTATTATGCTGGGTAGGGCTCTGGTTAGTGATGTAGGCAAATTATCAATGTATGTACAGTCTTATCAGACGTCTTTACTGTATTTTTCAGGATTTAAACAGCAACATTCAGATCATCACAGAACAGTGGATGATGACAGGACCCCCTTCTGGATTCCAGACTGAGGAGGGAATAAATGGATTCATAAAGGTGATTAATGGGGCGATGAACTTATTTATGATACACTCTCAACACTTGATCTGTAGCTCCTGAAAAATCCACAGATACTGTATGTTTCACTGAACAGTTCAACAGTGATGTATCCCATAATGCTCTGAAACATGCCATGATGTAATGATGACATGTATAATCATTCAGATGAATATCTCTGAATATTCAGATGGAGGTAAAGCTCTATTGGAGCTGGATTAGTTTTACCAGAGGAGGTCCTGGAGTGTAGTGTGTGATCTGACTGGCTGATTCATTCAGGATAAGGCATCTCTGTAATTTCCCCAAAGGCTGTTAGTCTTTTCTTCAGGTCACAAAGGAAAAATGTGTTTTCTATTAGCCGCTTTTGCTGCTACGTTACTGTGATGTTGATTTGAACAGGACTGCTGTAACTGAAAGAGCTCAGAGTTCAGACAGTTATAGAAGGTAATTCACTCTGGAATTATTACTTAGCAGACGTGTAAAAACTACAGACACTGCAGATTCATACTGGATTAGAATCACAGATCTCGGCGGTGATCACTCAGATTTTACCTTTACATTTACAGCGTTTAGCAGGCGCTCTTATCCAGAGCGACTTACAAAAAGTGCTTTGTCTATCTAGAGAAAGTATCTTTGCTAGTTACCAATGGGTAAGAGAGAAGCTGGTCCTGAGCTCAGATACTGCTAGAAAATAAAGCTGAAAGGTTAAACACAGCGCAGTGCGATACAATACATTTCAATAAGTGCAGTACAATACATTAAAATGAATGCTTAACTCAGTGCTCATTTAAGTGCTGTATAAGGAGACGTGTCTTCAGTCTGCGTTTGAAGACCCCGAGAGCCTCTGCTGTTTGGACAGCCAGTGGGAATTCATCCCACCACCTGGACTGCAGGACAGTGAAGTCTTGATGCTTGTCTTCCGCGCATCTTGAAGGATGGCGGGTCGAGCTGAGCTGTACTCGAGGCTCGAAGGGCTTGTGCTGCAGTTCGAGTTTTGACCATTGCCATCAAGTAGGGAGGGGCTGGTCCATTTTTGGCTTTGTAGGCATCAGGGTTTTAAATCTGATGCAGCTACAGGAAGCCAGTGAAGGGAGCGCAGCAGTGGGGTGACATGGCTGAACTTGACGAGCCGTGCTGCTGCATTCTGGATGAGTTCGAGATTACAGCACCTCCCCAGATAAAACTATTCCAGCTCAAACAGGGCTTAAGACAGGACTGACAGCTGATGGAAGAGATTATAATAGTAGTGGAGCCTAAAAGTGTGAAATAGATGTTCAATCGAAGACTTGATTAAATTTATAATATAACTGCAGCAAATATTAAAAGTCTAAATCTCAAAAATATCATAGTACCAAATCTAGATATTTCATTTTCATTGAACAACATAAAACGACCTTCATTCATTATCTATGTTTCATTACTGAGTCACACAGTTTAACTGATGAATTCATACCAACTCTAAACCCAGCGTAGAGCAGCTGAGTGAATGTGGTGTGGACTGTGTGTAGGAGGGTCATTGTGTCAGAGACGCTGTAGAAGGACAGAGTTCCTGCACTGTGATCCACATACACTCCTATTCTGGAGGATGATGGAGCTGAGAGCTCAGTCTTAATGCTGTTGTGACAGAAAGTGAGAGTGTCAGAACAGTCCAGACTCCAGGACTGATTGTTGAATCCAAACCTGCTCTCATTACCCGTCCTTTCCTGCTGATCCCTTCATACGACACTGATATGGACACCCAACCGAGGAGCGAGAC